CCATCCTGACCACCCACACCACGCTGGAGCACTCCGACTGTGCCTTCATGGTGGACAACGAGGCCATCTACGACATCTGCCGCAGGAACCTTGATATTGATCGCCCATCATACACCAACCTGAACAGGCTCATTAGCCAGATTGTGTCTTCAATCACGGCCTCGCTTCGCTTTGATGGAGCCCTGAATGTTGACCTGACAGAGTTCCAGACCAACTTGGTGCCTTACCCTCGCATCCACTTCCCTCTGGCCACCTATGCTCCAGTCATCTCTGCGGAGAAAGCCTACCATGAGCAGCTGTCTGTTGCCGACATCACCAATGCTTGCTTTGAGCCAGCCAACCAGATGGTGAAGTGTGATCCTCGTCACGGTAAATACATGGCCTGCTGTCTGCTGTATCGTGGTGATGTGGTGCCCAAAGATGTCAACACCGCCATTGCTGCCATCAAGACCAAACGCACCATCCAGTTTGTGGACTGGTGCCCCACGGGCTTCAAGGTGGGCATCAACTATCAGCCTCCAACGGCGGTTCCTGGAGGAGACCTGGCCAAGGTGCAGAGGGCTGTGTGCATGCTGAGCAACACCACAGCCATCGCTGAGGCCTGGGCCCGTCTCGACCACAAGTTTGACCTCATGTACGCCAAGAGAGCCTTTGTCCACTGGTATGTTGGGGAGGGCATGGAGGAGGGAGAGTTCTCAGAGGCCAGAGAAGATATGGCTGCCCTGGAGAAGGATTATGAAGAGGTTGGCGCTGACAGCATGGGAGAGGAGGATGAAGAGGGAGAGGAATACTGACTTGCCTAAGGTCTCCATTTAAGGCAAAGAAAATTTATATTTATCCTGGTTTTGTAATGGAGCATTTATTTTTGTAGTAAGGAAAATGCAGGTCAAATATATGAATATACCAACAATTTGGTTGAGAAAATAACCCTATTATTATTATTATTATTATTATTCTCTTTAAAATAGAGCAAAATGGTGAAATCAAAAAAAAAAGATGAAAACATCTTAAGTATCTCTTAAACTAAGTTGCACCTTGAAGAACTCAGTAGTATATTCCGCATATTGTGACACATATTCACAAAACAAACCTTAAATCCTGAAAACATGAGGATAACATCTTACGGAATCATAAGTCACGGTACTGTGTAAAATCATAATATTTGCATTCAAAGCAAAAAAAGAATTGTGGTCAGAGACATCTTATTTTGGACATTTAAAGTGTTTTTCTTTCTGCCATATCAGTCTGAGAAACTTAGACCAAACCCTCTCGTTTGTGCCCCTCCCCCCTACTATCCTCTCCCTTGTGGAATGTGAGTTATGAACAGGTCCTATGTCAGTTTCTGTATACCATTCAGCTGTGACTGTGTGAGAGCAGGAGGGAGAGAAAATAACTCCAACTCACTGACTGGTGTTGTTTGTGTAGCTCAGACTCAGACAGTGGCCTGCAGCAACAATAGGATCCCAGTAATGTATGAATCACAGCTCTGTCATCCTAAGAGGGCTGGTGAAAAGTTGTACAAAGGATAAGACTTCCCTTGTTGCTACCCTTTTACATTGTGGTAATGTGCTAAGTATCAACTGTGAGGTTTCTCTGTGTATTCTGAATTATCTGATTAAACTGTAACACTGCATATCGCCGTGTCATTTGTGTCACCTCACATTTCTTGACAGGGCTCTTACTGCTCACCATTTATTTTTCCTGTATTAAAGCATTTGTCTTTTACATTTCATCATTAAGAATAAAGACCTTCATTGACTTTTCCCTTTTGCCAGATCAATTTTGTGTGATTGTTAATTCAATGATTAAATACAGACAAAGGGTATGTGGGTTGATGAGGCTGCAGAGGAATGTATACATTAAACAAATCACAAGCCCACAGTCCTTGTTAAACACATACACTGTATATTATATGCTGAGAAAATGTCAGGGGTGAAGATTCTGCATGCTACTTGTAAATTCCAGACATAACAACTCATTTAAGCGTTAAACTCTCATGCACACAACATGAGAAAATGGGGGTAAATTGATCAAAGAGAAAATGTAAGAGGGTCATGTTTGCACTGATAATTTAATCTCAAACTGACAGACAAAGCACAAACATGAAAGGGCGGATAATATGACACACTGTATTGGGACTTCCCTCTTTTTTTTCCTTTTTTTTTAAACTGCTGCTCCCTCCCTCCAATGAGCTATGGAGCTGCTTGCTGTGGTTTCCTGCCTGCCCCCTCCACATCCTTGCCTATATAAACCCTGACTCTCCCTCTCCTCTACACTTCTGCCTTGTATCTGAATCCTCAACGTCAGTCGAAGGACGAGCAGCCAAAATGGTGAGTAAGAGCTTGGCTGGTGACGTAGCCTTGAAATTTCCACTCTCTCTTCCCTTCAGCCTCCCTTTGTTTGTGTTTCTCAGCATTAGATGGATTAAACAGCCGGGCCTGCTTAATTCTCATAAGGCCTCTGCTGGGGACTTTAGGGTTACTGATACAACAGCAGCTTTATCTTTAAGTGACAGTAGTTTTGAGGTGAAGTTATGGAATGAAACTTTTTTGGGCATGTCTGGTGAGAATTCAGGAAGAGGTATGCCATGGGATAGTAACTTATGACTACACGACTCCATAAGTCATCTCTGTACTCTTGGACTGTCCATGTCAGAGGACAGACACTACATGCGTTTGACTGCGTTGTCATTTTTCGTGTGATGAACTTCAGCTGGTCAAAAAAGCAGGAAACATACAACTAAAAGAATTTAAAATAGTGGAGTCTTATGTATTTTTTGAAGAATTAAAGTAATCTTGAGTAAGAAGGAGTGATTGGAGTAATCGTGGCAGTGGGGGGATGGATAGAAAGAACACAGAAAAAAGGAGCGGCCTGTCCTAGGCTGTATGAGTAAGTTGGCAGCCATTTTGCAGCTCTTCGGAGTTTTTGGTTGGAGGAAGACGTGGAGAGAGGGAGAGAGAGAGGGAGACATCGCTGACTGTTACATTGCACTATGCAGCTGGACAGGATGGGGGAGGAGAGAGACTCAAAAGGGGAGGGGGTGAGGAGAGGGAGGAGATACAGGATGGAGAAATGGGGGAAGGTTTTTCCATCTTCTTGGGACATGGCCTTCCTGTCTGCCAAATGGTGCCTTAGTTTATATGTTCTATTTTCTTGAGGAAACTGCATGAAATGTGTTTTCAGGGTTTTTAAAAGTGGATTTCAGCTACATCTCCTGCCCACGTTTGCTGTTTCTCCTATAACAACAAAGAGTGCAGACTCTGCACAATCTAACAGCTGCTTTCTTTTAAACGTTGGCTCGCTCATAAGCACTTTAAGCAGCTGAAAGCTTCAACATTCTGGAACCAGTTTTCAAGAGACAACGTTTCCAAACTGAGCGCAGACGTCACACCCAAGATTGTCATTGGACATGAAGTTCAAAGAAATAACGTCTGCGCCATAGATCAATAAAGAGATGCAATAGATTGTCTTTGTTTCTTTTGCCTCTTTTGCCTTTTTAAAATGTGAACCATGAAACCACTTCACTGAATGTTCTTGTGAGCTGACCTGACATACACTGTAAAAGTCCCAAGACATTTGTAAGCAGTTAGTATTGAACCAGAAGCAATGCAGATAAACTTGCAGTTGGATAGTAAATGAACATCTCATAATCTATTAGTTTCCTTTAACCAACCTCTCTCCCTTCTTTTGTTCAGCGTGAGTGTATTTCCATGCATGTCGGCCAAGCCGGAACCCAGATGGGCAATGCCTGCTGGGAGCTGTACTGTCTGGAACATGGGATTCAGCCTGACGGACAGATGCCCAGTGACAAGACTATCGGAGGAGGAGACGACTCCTTCAATACCTTCTTCAGTGAGACAGGGGCAGGAAAGCATGTTCCCAGAGCCATTTTTGTCGACCTGGAACCTACTGTCATCGGTCAGTAATGTGAAAATAGTGTCTAAATAAACATGAACTTTACAAATACACCTGACTTCACAACTCCTAATATATAAAAAACAAGGTGTACTGTATGTACACTCTTGACAATATATACATTAAATTAAAGGCAAAAGTATTGCAGCTATCATTCTTGAGGAATATAATGTTCCTACCTCATGATCATTAGCTCTTATTCTTGTTTTCAATTGTTCCTTTCATAGATGAGGTGCGTACAGGAATCTACAGGCAGCTGTTCCACCCTGAGCAGCTGATTACAGGAAAGGAAGATGCTGCCAACAACTACGCCCGTGGACACTACACCATCGGCAAGGAGATTATTGATATGGTTCTGGACAGGACTCGTAAACTGGTGAGAGTTTAGTTTGCTTGCTAGCCAGGTATAGCATTTGGCAGGCTGGTCTTTTCATGAAACTAGATTTAATTATCAAAAAATATATGTTTTCAAGATTTCAAAACTGTAGAAAAGTTTTGAAAAAAATGTTCAGAATGGTGATTTTTCATGTGACTTCACACTTCTGGTATTGTGCAAGTCAAGTGGAATTTAAAATAATCAAGACAACATTTCCTTTCAGGCTGATCAGTGCACTGGCCTGCAGGGATTCCTCATCTTCCATTCCTTTGGTGGAGGCACTGGCTCAGGTTTCACCTCCCTGCTGATGGAAAGACTCTCTGTTGATTACGGAAAGAAATCAAAACTTGAATTTGCCGTCTACCCGGCCCCCCAGATCTCCACCGCAGTGGTGGAACCTTACAACTCCATCCTGACCACCCAC